TGCTCTTCATAAAGTTATCGCACGTCCGTGACATGTTATGAACTCATGAGTCACGACACCGGGGAGCTCACGACCACAGCGCAAACTCTGTCCAGGGACGCAGGTATCGCGCTGGGCCTTAGAAGTACCCCATCGTGCCAAGTGGCAGGTTTGCATCTCTACGCTAAACTGGAGAGGACAGGAGACGGGACGGGGAGGCACGGCAGATTTGCATCTCTACGCCAGGCTGGTAGCGGCAGGGAGGGGAAGGGAAGGCGCGCCAGATTTGCACCTCTACGCCCGGCTGGTGGCGGTGAGGGAGGGGGAGGGAGGGGGAGGGCGGCGCCGTGAGCGGTCGGCCGCCGCCGAGGCTGTCCCTACAGCTGTCCAGCGCTCGGGACACCTGTCTCGACCGCGAGGGCGAGGGTGAGTCGAGGTGTGTGGCGGAGACGGAAAGGACGGAGGGCAGAGGGCGGAGGAGGGTGCGCAGATGGAAGGCGGGCGGATACAGGGGCGGACACAATGCCGTCTGGATGTGAGGAACAATGGCCGGTGGCAGTGTCGGGCGTATGGTCGGTGAATACCGGACGTCAACAGTGACCAGTCTGCCGGTCAGTATACCTATACGGGTACATACAGCGGCGCTGTCGCCAGCCGCCAGTCACCCGCCTGCCTTTAGCGCCGATCTGTTGACAAAGCCTGAGTAACCGGCCCCGACGGACATCAACGAGGATATACAGAGCCCGGCCACGACATGACCAGCATTCTAATCATTACATCAATTCTTTCATTATTCATGCTCGGTGGTGCGGACGCTGTACCCCCCCCCCCGCAACGATTATGACTTGCCACAGCGAGCACCATTCAATCCATGCAAGTGGCGGCTGGGCTCGGCAGGATAAGTGGCTCTAAACACTGGACTGTTTGTGATGCAATAGTTGCAGGCGCTGCCGTAATAAATAGGTGGGGCCAGGTGTATGATCACGATAGCTTCATTGTGGACTCCACTGGGCTGGTGATAGACATGTCAATCAACAACGCCCGACGCGGATGAAAAGGTGGGGAAATCTGCCCTAAACAACAACGCCAGACAAAGGCAGACACAAGGTGAGTGAATCTGCCACTGAAAAACGTCTGGTGACAGCCGACTAAACCAGTAGCCGTTGGACATAACACCATACAGACTAACTGCTGGCGCTCCCGTCAGAGATTAGAGGTCAGAGGTCAAAGCGATCTGTCAGCTCGACCGTGTGATGCCACGACCACCCGGCTGCCCGCCCCGAGCGGTTCAGCCGCGCTAAATAACGAGTGAGAAGACTGAAGAGAGGACAGGGCAGACGACAGTGAGAGACAATTGACAAATACGATGCCTATCGGCTATCGCGGCTCCTTGGGCGTTCCCATTTAGCTCAAGTGGATACAGCCGTTTTGGCGGACCTTAGAACCATATACGTTGATTGTTGCCCAAAGGACAGGACCTAATTTAAAATTGGTATCGCGCTTAACGCGACATGAGAAACAGTCCAATCTCTCATCACCTGACCTCGCTTGAGATGACACTGTGGCCCCCTCGGACAGTCGGGCGTTCGCCCACCCCGCCTGGCCTGGCTGGGAGAGCATCAAGAGGCGTGCACGGCTCGGCTCGCTCTCGGCCCTCCATTCTGCGCCCACAGCATTCCTCCATATAAATGCCCCTTGCCGACCACTGCCCATCACGTCAGCCGTACACGCCCCCAGCGGCGCTCGGCCAGCGACCGACACGCCCCGCCGCGCGGCGTGCTCGGCCCGTGGGCGACTGTCCGTCGTCGCTCCGCCGTTCCCGTCACCGGGAGGCGACAGGTCGCAGTGTCGGGGTGTCGACAGTCGAGTCCACTGGCTTCCTGTCCTCCGAAGCCCTCCGGCCACCGGGTACGGCCACGAAGCGCTGAGCTCTGGCCGCGGAATCTGGCGGCCGGCGCGCCGTGACACCGGACAAAAACGACCGCTCGGCGGCGCGCGCGGCCTCCGTGGCGCAGCGGCGCGCCGGCCGGACGGCCGAACGGCCCTGGGCCCGCCGCCGCGTCGGCCGCCCGTTTTTCCAGCCGAGCGGCGCGGGCTCTCACTGACCGTGTCTCCGGCCGCCGCGGGCCCAGATCGACCACCAGGCAGGTGCCGCTGCCGAGCGACAAACGCCAACAAATTGGCAGCAAATCGGGAAAACGGCCACATTGACGCCGTGAACACGGTTCAATGCGATGTATTTATTTGTGGAAAGTCCCCGGATACGGCTGGAGGCGAGTTCCGGAATGGAGTGACCCGTTGGCCATGGATGAACGAGGACGGCGCGCTGTGGTGGGACATCTGACGTCGTCACGCGCCACTCTATGCCGCTGCCAGGTGCGACGACCGCCCGGCGCGCCGCGTCCGCCGCCAGGCGCACAAAATGGCGCGGGGGCGCTCCCACGGCAGTCGCCGAGCCGACCGACCGGCCGGCGGGGCGGGCGGGCAGCGCGCGGGCGTGCGAACTGGGTCCGACGAGCTGCAGCGGCAGTCCACTCGCCGCCGTGCGGACAGCTCACTCCGACGGTCGCTGGAGGAGGAATCTGGCCGGCCGCTGATCCCCGGCGCTGCAGGTCATCAGCGGATCCAATTGTGCTGTCAGACACGTTCCCATGTCGGTGTCTGACCGCGGCTGCAGACCGGCCTGCGGTGTCCGGCGGTGGCGCGGTCGGCGCTAATGTAATGTTCCGCCGGGCGCGGGCGTCCGTCTCCCGGTACTATCGGCCAGCCGACCGGAGCGGCAGAGGGGAGCGCTAATCGTTGCGGACGCAGCCGGCTCCCCTCGCTCATCCCTGGGCGGCTCTCTGCCCAGCCGAGGGAGAGGGCCGCTCTCTCCGGCGAGCCGGGACGCACGCGTCGGCCGACAGCTCCCAGTGGCCTGCGAGCGACACCGCGCCGGGGGGAGCCGGTCGGCAGATGGGGAACGACGCGCGCTAACAGCCGCTCTCCAGCGATGCAGGAAGCGGCCGAGAATGTCTCAGCTCGGCGCGACTGTGAGGAGGCCGGCCCACCGCCGAGCGGCACTGACTCGCGGCGGCAAACAGCGCTGAATAAACACACAAATACACCGGCGAGCCATCAGCGCAAACAATCGCACCCCGATTGAGGGCTGGCTCCGCAGTGTGGCGGCGCCGCCGTGTTGTACGAACTGCGAGCACAAAGGAAACGGGGACGGCGCCGGCCGGAATCGATAGCGCTGAAAGCCATTCAATGATGAGCCGATGATCAAATCAAATCGTGGCGTCTGTATGAATTTGAATGGATTAACTCTACAGGAGTAGCTGCAGTTTTGCAGATCATTGCGTAGTTGATAAGCCCGGCTGTCAGACGGGCTGTGCAGACTGGCGAGAGGCGAGCGGATCGAGCCTTTGACCCTCGCCGGTCTCACACGTGTGAGGGCTATCGAATAAAGGAGTACCGAGGCATTAAAAGTCGAGACAGAGAGCCGAACTATTCGGAACATGTAAAACTAGTCCCAACGTTGAACAGTCTTCACTGCACAATCGCCTTCAGTGGACCACATAGTTGACCTAATCAGGATGACGCAACCACGGCGCCGCCTCCACAGCGAAGTGCTATCAGGAGTAGCAGCAACACCAGCTGGGTCAGTCCCACAGGCTTTATAAGTACCTGCATCAGCACTTGTACCTGCACCAGGAGCTACACTATTAGTTAATAGTTATACATAAACATGTACAGTCCACAGCAGAAGTAATGTGGGGTTTCAGTCATGGGTATGTTCTGCTTATGAAGCTTAGGAACGATTAGCCAGACTACAATGAAACTTTGAATGTAGCTTAGGTATATGTATCGTCACCCTTGCAGCTGCAACTTTAGCTATTGACATCTTGTTTTCGATCGCTCCGAATCGCCAGTCAAAGCCAACCGTTGAGATTGGTAAAACCCTACATTACTTTAGCGGTGGGCTGTACCAGTTTATAAACCGGTACACATCATCCAAAACCGTACCATCCTAAAAGATAGGTACATCCTAAACCTACCTAAACCAACCTACCATCCTAAATGATTACCAGCGGCGGCAGCGGCCGTTCGAGCCAGCAGTCAGGACAGCCAGGGTTCCCTGACAACAGCCGCTGTCTTAGAGGACCCAATGACCCTTCCCGAGTACAGTCAGACACAGCCCGGGGTCCCCGGATGACAGACGTCTCACTGGGGGGCCAAAGCGATCGTTCCCCGCTGCACAAGACAGTCAGGAGTGTAGCCGCCCTGAAGGACCCAATGCCCCTCCCTGAGCACAGCCAGACACAGTCAGGGGTCCCCCGACCACAGTCACCGCTCCGAGACCCATCGATCGGACCGAAGCGACGCCGGGACGCCGTAGTGTGTCTGTGTGCGCTTCTGTTCACCTATCCCAGTCCTGAGGCGACCCCAGGAGTCGCAGTGGGGCGAGAGCAAAGCGCCAGCGGCAACCGGCGGCCGGCCGCGGTCGCCGTGCCGTTTGCCGGTGCACGCTGGCGGCCTATCGCACCATCTCGGCACCGGTCACGCAGTGGACGGGGAGGGGGGGAGGGGGAGGGCCGACCCGGGTCGGGAGGCGGACCGGCCGTCGGTCGGCGATGACAAGCGGGCGGCGCCGGCGGCTCATATCCGGCGTCGGGATCCCACGCCGTGCCGCCCGTCGCCGCAGAGACATAATGAACGGCCTAAACTGAACCGAGCGCATGTCGGCGAATTGTCCATTACGCCCGAGTGGACGTGCTAATGAGCGGTGAGCAGCAGACGCCGCTCGGCTAATCACCGCCGGCGCTGATGGGTGGGGTCGGGCGCGTAAAAACCGCCGGCCGCCGCAAAAACCCAGAACTCCGCGCCGGCCGGCCTTTGTCAAAACGCGCCGGTAACAGATGCGGCGGCGCGGCGGGCGGCCGGGAGAGGTCGGGGACGGTGTGATCCTCTCCTAGCAGCACGTCATCACAGGGTGGGCCGGGGCGGCACGGGCCGTCCCCGGGCCGGTCGCAACTCACCTCCGGGTAGATACTCGACGTTATCGTCGAAACACTTGTAGCGCACGTAGTCTCCGTCGGCGCCGCGCCAGCCGCGGCCGCGCACCACGCGTGATTTGCCGGCCACCGGCATGGCAAAGTCGTCATACTCTGCCGAGGCCGGGTCCGGCTCGCTCTCGGCTCCAGCGGCCTCGGCAGCCACGGCCGGCTCGGTCTCGGCCCGCTCGGCCCGCATGGCCCTCTCGTCACAGGCGTCACCGGCCGCCCGGCGGGCGCTCCTGTTTCCCGGCGGCACACTGCTCGCCTCCCTGGTCGAGCGACACCATCGCGACCGCTCCCACAGGCACGCACACCCGCACACTGCGTGCTCGCTTTGTTTCGCTCTCACTCACACGGCGGCGCCCATAGCGCGCGTGCGGTCTCCACTCTCCAACGCTCTCCACGCGCCACTTGCACCGACACTCGGCGGGCCGTCGAGCGCACACCGCTCTCGCCGAAAGCGCGTGCGGCGGCCGGCGCGTTCCCGTGCTGCCCTCACGCGGACTGGCGGCGGACTGGCGGCCGCTACAGCGCCGGGCGCGCCGCTCGGACCTGCTGACCGACCGGCGCGGCGCGGCGCGGCGGGCCGCGTGCTGAGTCCCGACTCCCGACCACGCCGTGTGTCGGCGATCGGCGCGCCCTCCCGCGCCGCCGGGCGCCGCGCGCGGACGACCTTTGGCACGCCGATTACGGCCGAGCCGGTGTATGTATGTATGCCCGGCGGGCGCGCGCTCTGTCCGGCCACACCAGATGGAAAATCGATAGGCCGCGCTTAGGTGGCCGAGTTGCTGCCAAGCGATGCATAAATCTGAAAGTTATCACGTTCTTTGGAGATTCTGATGATAAGAGGGCGACGATGGGCCGCGGGGACCTGCAAATCAGAGCATGAGCAAATTAGGCCAACAAATTATTCCGTTGACAAATAAAAGAGCGAGGCACGTGCCATACGCAACAACGGTCTCCAATATTTCTTTTTTGCAAACGAAACTTCAAAATCAAAGGAACAATAAACGATGTGGGCCTGTTGCTAATGCGAATGATATTGGTTTGATAACGACGTGACGTTATCTACCGTTGGGTCGCCGGTATTCCACCGGCCTACCCTCCCGCCCCCTCCCTTGGTATTGGTTTGATGTGTGCCGTGCGTAGGTATACTGTCGAATTTATCCGATCGATCTCTCGAGGCGGTCGAGCAAATGTACCACAGCAGATATCATCGCTGTCAATGATTCGCAAGATCGAGGAAAGTAGCAGTTAGCACGTTTCACTCCATTTGAGCATGCACTGGTTTAAACAATGGAAGTTTAGGCAGACTTCAGACCTTTGCCTTATCGCGGGGTCGATCCCTGATGCGGAAATGAAGATCCTTTGTTTGATATTAAACTTCGTGAGTACTTTCGACGATGGTTAGATTGGCCCCTGCCCTGGGCGAGTCGTGACTCATAAAGAGAGCTGGCATAATACGGTGATGCATGCCTGTATGCATATACACACATGCATGCATATTGCATATATACATGCACGCATACATGCACACATACATGTCGACATACATGCATGCATACATACATAGGCACATACATACATTGCATACATCAAAGATAACATGAATCTATGATAACACGATTCATGTTATCTATGCATGCATACATACATAAGCGTCTAGCGTAAGTTTTTTTTTTTAATAAGCAATTCTCCGGAATGATACTATGCATTTCTCGGCTACTAATCGTTTACGGGAACAAAAACTTTTCGAACAATAACTCAGGCAATATCAGAATGTTGTTAACGCTTCGGAAACATAATACAAATATCAACCACAAAAGAACAAGTTTGAATATGCAAAGAATCCAGTAACACATTGAATAAGGCAACATGCAGATAGGGACACTAGGAAACGTTGGCTCGGGAAAAACAATTCATAGATACACACATTCGGAACTAAGTCAATAAAAAAATGGAAGATAAGGCAGGATTACCTACCTCTTCGTTATATTGACTTTGACCAAGTTAACATACTAAACGAAACGTTGCATCATATATTTACACGCACTAGTCTGCAAGCAATTCAATAAGAAATGCCGATAAGAATGCCGACAATCTTATACCCCAATGCAGTAAAAACAAGCATTTTTATCATCTCGCACGGAGTAAGGTAAGCTCCAAGTGTCTGAAGTACTTACAAGTTACACACTCTCTTAGATTAAATGAATTCCAATGAAAAACAAAATGAAGGAATGAATGACTGTCAATGATGAGAGGGAATAAATCAAAACTAATGAATTCGATCCTGCCATAAACATAAGAAGGTACATGTGAAATGATGTTTTTCGTACTCCAGCGTAGATGGGTAGCCATACGCTCACGCTCAGTCCCAGCGGATAAAAACAACACCTAAGAATGTAAGAAGGTACAGCTTTTTTTATTTTAAATGGCCTTGAGGCTTGACCTCCCCAGTCTAGGTGGGTGTCATGCACTGACGCTCTGTTTCGTCCATGATGAGGGGAGATAGAGAGGTAGAGGAGAGGGGGGGAGGGAGGAGAGAGAGAGAGAGAGAGAGAGAGAGAGAGGGAGAGAGGAGAGATGAGAGAGAGGAGAGAGAGAGAGAGGAGAGAGAGAGGGGAGAGAGAGAGAGAGAGAGAGAGAGAGAGAGAGAGAGAGTGAGGAGAGAAGAGAGAGAGAGAGAGAGAGAGAGAGAGAGAGGGGCGAGAGGAGGGGGGAGGAGAGAGAGAGAAGAGGGGAGGAGGGAGGAGAGAGAAGAGAGCGAGAGAGAGAGGGAGAGAGGAGAGAGAGAGAGAGAGAGAGAGAGGAGAGGAGAGGAGAGAGAGAGAGAGAGAGAGAGGGAGAGAGAAGAGGAGAGAGAGGAGAGAGAGAGAGAGAGAGATGTTTTTCGAGCCGAGAGATCTGAGACCGTCAATTTGAAAGAGCCACCTCTCAGTAGGACAGGGCCGCTAAAACAATCACCCCAGACCAAGACGGATATGCCCCTATTGGAGCTGCCCACTGGCTCTCGCTGCTAACGGTTAGAGAGCGGGAAGACGGCCAGCCCGGAAACTGGGATACCTAAGCGACTAAGCGTGTCAGGTCCGAGGTCGAGGATGATAACGGCCAGAAGAATGATATAAATATCCCGCGGATAAAAGCGATGACGGAACCACAAGGCCTCCGTCTTATCTTCAGGTCAAGCCAAGTCACTAACCTATTTATATCGATCTGCAAGGTCTGAGTGTGACTTCGCAGCGCTTTTAACGTCGACAAATTTTTGGAAAGCTTATGGATGTGTATTGTGTATGCATTTTTTCAGAGAAATGTAGCCCTCCGCACTCCAGAATTCCGGATGCTTACATTTTACATATAGGAATCGAATTTTTATACGGATCACCTGATGTAAGGTCAGTCACATAACATAACCGAACCGGCACGTTACAACTAAGAGGAAATGCTGGAGTCGCTTATTTTGCGCTAGAGATGGTGAAACTCGAAGCACCCAGCATCTTGGTGCGGAGGCTTCACTGGGAAACCAGTTAGAGGCGCCACCAGTCTGATGATAGATGACGCTGGAACTCGATTCGGCGAGGGAAAGGCTTTGGAAAAGCTATATTGAAGAATCTTGGGAAAAGCTCAGTGCTCTCGGGTTGCAGGCAGCCCGGATCCCCAACATAACAGACCACATCACATCGTAAAATACTGGCGACGAGGCACGATGACGATTTGCCAGGACTCGCACTTCGCAGCGCTGGGGCACTGGCTTTGCATATCACATTACTTTTCACTAACACGAATTCTTAGTTACGACAAATGCCCCAAACTACAAAACTTATTTTCGAAGACGAAATTTGAAAGCGAAATACTAGTGATGGCGATCACCGCAACAGACCACTCAATCTTGCATTGGACACCTAATAGCACCGTGCTATTAGGGTGTGCGGCGAAAGTAAGGCTCTCGCGGGATTAAGCGACAGGTTTTGTCTTTTTACATTTCCGGCTATATCTCAGAAATTAATTGATATATGATGAAACCATTTTAGAGAATCATGGCAGGCATGTGTACGAATAAGTCGATCGCATCTTCGACCCTAAGACGAAGAAGATGGGCGGAAATTTACTTAACCCTCGCCGGCACAGGAGGATGATGCAGCCCCCTAAGGTTTTTCTCGAATAACTCACGTAAAAAGCGGGCGAACGCGACGAAACTTTCAGTACCCTCGCCTTGATCAATTTTACACCTACCCTGAAAATTTCATGACCCTGACCCAAATGACCTTTGACCTGTGACCTAACTTTACGAGACCATGTTTGGCCGGAATCGCGATTCGGCGTATGTCGGCTCGCATTAGCCGCGCGTTTGCAAGCTTTTCTTGATTTCAAACGTTTAAACATGCGATTTGATGTTCATGCCGTCATGCACTAGGGTGGATGTCAAGGTCACCTGAAGGTCAGGTCAAGTCATTGACCTTTGGTGACCTCGGTTCACTTTTTCGAATTTTACATGTTGCTAGGCTAGTTTTTGGAGCTGAATTCGAATTTAGCAACCTTTCAACATTAACGAAGCATTATTATTCCATGTATTTCGCATTGAAAAAGGCTCCTCAATGGGGGGTCGAAATATTTGCCATCATTTAAATAAAAAATACATTTATCTTGAGACTCTGAAAAGTATACCATTAACTTATCAACCTGAGTAAAAGATAAAATGACTTTAAAGTCCCAATTAACGAAGCAGTTTGGTGCCTTCGTAACATGTACGAAGCTATCAGAGGCGGTGACACGTACTACGAATACCATCACGACCCCTATGGTTGACGTGACCTGACCCGACCCGACCTGGTCTAAATGCTTAAAGACATCATCTGTGATCAAAACTAACAGTATTCGTGATCAGCACCCCGAAAAACCCCATGGCAGCCACACTTTACGACTTCCAACAAGACCCGGTTTTCTCGACTTCGGGTCATGACCTGACCTGGAAGGTCAACCGATGACTTAGGAACTTAAAATTGGGTATCATCGACTTCCTCTCGTGACGGGCAACACGCTCGTTTTTTCCGCCAAGCTCTAACTCAATCAGGGGCCAAACGCGAGGGGGTCGTACCAAACCCCACCCCATCCCTGTGCCGTCGAAGGACGGATCCGAGAGTGCCCACTCCCGCACCCTGCTCCCACCTGACGGCGCGAGGGGCAAAACTGGGCAAAACTTACGCTAAAACCCGCGAGACCTGTACCTACTCACAGAACAGGATGAACGCAATCGCATTGCCAAGATAGTAGGCATTCAGTCATGCGTTTATTTAGCCTTGAGTCATGGGCCTACTGCTTACCTTTCCATCTGACTTGCCGTTCCATGGACTTCCATCAGTCCCATCATTCACGAGACAGTGCATTTCACCATCTATACCTAAGTTTTGAGCGTTTCACTTTAGAAAAACGAGTCAACCTGAGTGGATCAATATATGATCCCTATATATGGCCTTGATATGATCAATACACTGGTCCAGTGAATGGAACGGGATGAATTGGAACACAAGGGAAGGAAGTTCCTTCCTTAGGATCTCAACCAGCCCTGCAACCAAGGCCATATAAGTTGCAGGCCAACCAAGGCCTGCAACCTGATTCCTGAACCAAATGTGAACCACACCAAGATTCTTACAGATAAACCACACGAACGAAGCGAACTTGAACTGAAATCAAATGAACGCACGAGCACGTGCGTTGCACGTGCGTTCCCACGAGTATTTGCTACCAAATCATAGATCGAGCTACCATATGAAGTTTTATGCGGTAAAGGAATGCAATCGGCCTTCGTGTTATAGCAAAACATTTATCTTGCTTTGTTTTACAATAGCAAATTGCTTCAAATTAAATGTAAAATAAAACGAAATATCTAGCTGCACTCTCATTGCTGATTGCCATACCAGTAGATGAGTCATGAGAAACGTTCAAGCTTCATTCAGTACCCGTGAAGTGTATAGGAAACGCATCGAATGATGAATTGATAAACGTACGGTTTGCATTGACGTAAATGCGATACCCATATATGTCGTACGGCGAATGCAATACCCATTTTATTGACACCGACCTGGCACCGTTTACCGACAGAACAGAACGGTCACTTATAGCGACAACTCTGTTCTGATTCACTTATACGTTCTATCGACAAGTCATGCTGCAGCTATGCTATATGATCACACGAGTAACATTATATTAGTATTACTGCTGTGTAAAGCCGATACTCATGCACCTTTTATCGACAGCGTTATTGCACCCTATATTCACATGCGGGTATGTCAGAATTAGCAAGTCCTACCATTTATAGCGGGCCTGCTACGAGAGAGCGTACGTCATCGATGATAGTCGACGACGACTCGTCAGAGACGGTGTCACAGACACAAGAAGTTCCCGAGAGCCATGTAAACTATATTTGTCAATTCGTCCGGTCCCCGAGCCAAGGAGCTCGTAAATTACTTTCGGAATTCTGAATTGTCACAGCAACCGACGGGAACAAAGCGCACATGACACAGGTAATATGTAGATGGAAATCAGTGCGCTAGCCGCTAGCGCTCATACTCATAGAAAGTATCTCAGTAAACGGTCGCACCCACCACTGTCGCTTCTACGCTCCGCCAGAGGAGTCCCTTTCCGACGTCGCCCGGAATATACCCTGGCCCGGTCGCCGTTCGCCGTTTCCAGCTCGACGGGCGCCGTCTGAGGTTTAGTGTCGAAGAAGCGCTGCTGAATTTGTTCGAGGGTTAGGCCGTGAGTCTCTGGCAGCAGGGTGGAGGCGTACAGGACCTGTAGGAGACTGATTGCCGCGTGAACCAGGAACACCCCTCCCACGCTGATGGCACCGAGCAGCGGCTCATACAGCTGCAGCGAGACGAACACCAGGAGGCCGAACCACCCCATCACCAGGCTAACGGCCAGCGAGCGCACGCTGTTCGGCAGCAGCTCGCCCAGGTAGTTGAATGTGATCGCGGTGAGCAGCGTGCTGTAGGGCAGCAGGCAGACCAGCGCGCCGCCCAGCGCCAGCCAGCCCCTGGCCGCGTGCTCGGCGTCCAGCAGGTCCCCGGCGGCGATGGTGGCGCAGCCGACGGCGCTGAACGCTCCGGAGGCGCGCAGCAGCGGCAGCCGGCCGGCGCGGCGCAGCAGCGGGCTGGCCGGCGGCGTCCCCAGGAGCGCCACGGCCGGCACCAGCATGGCGCGCTGGTAGTCGTCCAGCGGCAGCGGCAGGCCGCCGACCACCAGCGCCGTCACCACCACCAGGAAAAAGCCGCCCGTCCACACGAAGAAGAAGAACTGGCCGGCGGTGAGCAGCAGCGGCCGCAGCGCGCTCCGGCGGCACAGCGCCCGCCACGTGCGGCCCAGCGGAGCGCCCGCCTCCTCCACAGAGGCTCGGATGTTGTCTATCTCGCTGGCGGTGTCAAAGTCTTGACCACGGTAGAATGCCAGCGCGTCGGCAGCCAGCTTCTCGTCTCGTCCGCGGGCCATCAGCCACTGTGCGGTGTCGGGCAGGAGTAGCAGGCCGAGGGCGCCCAGCGCGGCCGGCGCGCAGGTGCAGGCCAGCTGCTGCAGCGGCCACCGCCAGACCGAGGCCAGTGCCAGGCCCACCAGCTGACCCACAAACAGCAGCAGCCCCACAGCCGTGGAGAGTACCGCCCGCTGCGCCGGCGCCGCCACCTCGGCCACGTAGGCGCGCGCCTGGCCGTCACCGGCTCCCAGGGCGGTGTTGACCAGCAGCCGGCCGGCCACCGTCCAGCCGAACGCGCCGTCCCCGCAGTAGATGGCCACCGAGCCAGCGGCGGCCAGTGGCATCAGCAGCAGCAGCAGGCGGCGCGCGCCCAGCGGCGGTGCCAGCGCGGCGGCCAGCACACAGCCCAGCAGCGCGCCAGCGAAAGTCACAGAGATGGCCCAGCTGCGCTGGCTGACACTGAGCCGGCCGTCCGGGCCCGCCTCCTGGATCAGCAGGGCGCTGTTGAGCGCCACGTTAGCGCCGAGCATGAACTGAGTCTGGCCGCAGATGGCCGTGGCCAGCACCTGAAACAGTCGACAGAGGCATGTGAGGTGTCCGTAGACACAGCTGGAGAGAATCCAAGGACGGGGCTTTAGATACACGTAATTATATCGAGCAAGAGCGGTGACGGTGTTATCGGCCTCGTTTATCCGGAAAGGCTGAACATTGGGATTGGTTTTATATTGCCCGAAGAAATAAACGCCCCACTGGCAGTCAATTAACACCAGCAGTCAGCACATATTTGAATATGACTGCAGAATAAACATATGCCTTACTCACACCATGTCGTTGCTCAAAAGTACATAGGCACCGACCTACCCTACCTATGGCATCAGCCATCCGCACTCTAAAGGCACGACCATTCACGTGCAGTAGGTACCGCTCTTTATCACCCTTCTTCCCCCGAGCGATACTGATAAAATAACAATGAAATTCCCAGAACGACGCATTGCAACACGTAAATCCGAGTCTTAACAGAATGCAAGGTACTGAGTGCCGGCTGACATGAGCATCCAAGCAACAACGCGATAGCTGAACGAGCTGAGTACGAGCGATATGCTGCATGATTGATAAACAGGGCGTTCGGAATTCATACTGAGTAGGTACGAGCCTTGTGTGTACGAGCCTTGTGTTAGAGAAGAGGTGTTACTTTTTATATGAGCGCATTGCTGCTTACACAAGCGATGATATGCCGTCATCGGAGGCTCAAAAGACAGAACTAATATGCTTCCTGAGAGAAAGTCAGCGGCCTATGCACGTCGAGTGAGAGCATTGCATCAAAAGAGGTAGCACCGCACTCACGGTAGGATACCGTAAATAGCAAGTAAACGTTAAAAGCGGTGTGCGAGTAAACGTTTACCTGTTTGAGCGCTCCTGACGAATGCATGCCGCCAGTCAAGTAGTCTCTGGGCAGAACACGGCTGGTTCCACTAGCACGACCAGACCACAGGTGACCAGTGGCCGATGACCATTGACCACTAGCACTTTCACTCACACGGTCGTGCTAGTCATCTCCGCCCCCTTCCTCTCCTCTCTCTCTCTCTCTCTCTCTCTCTCTCTCTCTCTCTCTCTCTCTCTCTCTCTCTCTCTCTCTCTCTCGACCGATTCAACACAGACTATCGATGCCAAACCCCGAGCACCCCAAGAGGCTAGTCCGGAGCTCCCTCCCTACACACAGATCCCAAGAGACTGGTCCACACACCGATCCGTCATTGCCCGCCCAAGTCGGTCACCTTGCACGATGCTCTTCGTAAACAAGCGAGACCGGTCCGGGCCGCCCGGAGAAGGGATAGCAAAGTTCCGACCCGGGGGTTTCCCCCTAATTTTGCTAGTCACACTGAGTTGTATGGTTGCAGAACGGGGTAAAGTAGGTCGTGAGTCGTGGATCGTGATCTTGTTGTGAAACGTCCGAGGGTAAGCATGCACGTCTTGGAGTTCATTGTGACGCCAAGCTCGGGCATATAAGCCAAACAACAATCTAACTTCTCGGCATTGTTTGATGTCAACACGGATCATCAAAGTCGCCTTCTCCGAAGGGACAAGTCGTCCCATCATATGAGCATTTACGAGACCACCCTACTTTGCACCGTGCGAGCTCCAACTTCCGAACGCAATACGCACTGCGTATCTCATTTATAAGATTCCTTTCATACCATCCACATTATCATTTCATCTCGCTCCCGACTGAACAAACAGCCCACCGTTGAGCCTAACCGGCCTTCAATACCAGCTCTCCTTCAGTGTCGCCCGCCGAGACATCCCTTCCCCGTACCCAACTATCTGACAGTGGAGTCAATGGGGCGGGCGGCCGGCGGCACGCGGCCCCGGTAATAAACTGCCGGATGGACCCTGATAGACGACGCGCAGCACGTAAACAAGAGCGGGTTCGGGAGGGTAGAAACAACCGGCGGGAGTGGAGATGGAGCGCTAGGTGGAGATACGACAAAGGGTAAGAAGTTACGATCTACGATATGATTTCAAAAACTGCCGTCAGACATGGTCACATTACAATCGCAGCTTCCCTTTTTTTCAACGCCGACTTCCGATGACGGTGTGGCAAGAAAACGACAATATACGAAGGCTTTGTGCGCCAATTTATTATGTCAGCATTTGCGATAATAGTACCTTCCCAATTTGCACATGACGACTGTGATATTGTGTAGCTAAAAAACGGGCTAGGAGGTCGACCATCACCAATACAAAAGATGTTCTACCTTCCGAATACAAAATCACTGACGATCGCGGTAAATCAAAACAGTTGATGAAGATGGTTAGTCGAAACAAAAAGCACAACAAGGGCATGGTAAAACACCGCAACGACTCACTGGTCGAGTACCAAAATACCGACCAGTCACGGTTTATGGCCTGTTGGCACCGGCGATTCTTTCAGTTCAATTGATCCGGAGCCATCACAAAGTTCGACTAGCACCTAGAACACTCATCGCTTCTCGCGCGCACACACAGACACACAGACGGGCGCTCGGCACATCGGCTCAACCAGCACAACCTTTTAGCGATCGTACCCACCTCCCTCAACCCCTACAGCCTCAGCCAGTCACCCCCGAATCACACACCTCTGACTTTGGCTGCCCGATCCGTCGAGCTCTCCCAAAAGCGCACCCCTCACTCCCGACACCAAACTTCATCCAGCTCCCGGCCACACTGCTCTGGCACCTCCCATTAGCTACCGCCTTTCCTACTAGTGGCTCACGGCACCACACCACCACCCCTCACCCTGCTTCCAATTCGGGAATCAGGCAGCAGGGATCCACCTGCCGGAAGACCGGCGCCCTTCTGGCTCTTAATTCTAGTGATCGTCCGGCTCAAACACTGGGTGGTACCGGTCTGAAAACTGGGTGGTCCATGGGTTCAAAACCAGAGATCTCGACATGACCATTTGATCTACGGGTCTACCCTTCACCTTCTATACCGACCTCATCATTCTATCACCACCTCTCTCCCCTCCCCACAGCTCTCTACCGCTGTGGCCGTCATCACGCCTCGTCCAGCTCTGCCGTGGGCACACAGCGGCGCTCCACGGGCTGGAGAGCGGCTCCCTCGCCATCCACCGCCGCGCCCGGCCGCAGTGCCACCGTGCTGAACTTGAGCGGCATGTCGGTGGCCTCTAGAGACACGGTGACGGGGGTGAAGAGCTCGATTATCTGGTCGACGGCCGGCTCTGTGTCTGTGGCACGCCAGGTGAGCTTCAGACGCGGCACGCCGGTCTGTTTGGTGAACTCGACCGATTCCACCTCCAGCTTCTGTGGGACAGAGCGGAGGGGAGGTCAGATCGGTCGGGAGATCTCGGATCAGGCAGGACGCATGTGAGAGATTGGGTGACGCTATTTAGAACAGTGAGCAAAGTGAGTAGAACGAGCACCCTTCCGCATGATAAAAACTTATCGTTCTGCTCAAGAGGAGAGCAGACCGATAGGTCCATCAAGGTCCATCAAAAAGAGGACGCTGATCCCACATTTGCCACGCATATCACATATATAAAAATCAAAACGTCCGTATGTATGTATGTATGTATGTACGTATGTATGTGACGCGTCAGTCACGCTTGGCGGGCTATTGCTCTGGAACGGTGCGGGCTACGGGGGTGAAATTTTGGACTTAAGTCGGACGCGTGCATCTGTTTGTCGTATCAACTTTTCGAGGGGGTGCGCTCGGCGGTTTGCACGTGGCGGGCGCATCTTTGCCGTATGTTGGGCCGCGGCCGTCGCCGATCAGAGAGCACGCGCATTAGCCTCAGTTTCTTCGCTTGCAAAACTGAGCGAAATCAGAGCCGGAAGGTCACTGACCTTTGGCAATGAATACCGGAACAGGGCACCGCCGGCCAAGAGGAGACGCCAAATTTATTCTGGCAATAACTCGGCCGCTACTGGGCCGATTTTAATGAAAATTGACTTATTACGCTGCGCGTAATGCTGTCCCTCTAGTAATTAATAAAATAAACAACGCTAAATCAAGTTTCAGCAATTATCCGACATCCATGCCGATTGCTGACATCATGTTATCCACTCAAACCCTAGCAAAAACTGCCATTAAAACGTGATCCCCTGTGCAACTGTAACAGCTGCTTACACAACCACCCCCACCGTGTCCCAACTCACATCGATGTACACCCGGCGAGAGATGGCCATCTCGGGTATGAACACGTCGAAGCTCTTGTCGAGCACGCCCATCACAATGGCGGGCTGCCGGATCGGGCCGCACAGATCCACCATGTGGGCCAGGAAGAGCAGCGAGCACGCCTCCGAGCACAGCCGCGCAGACAGCTTCTTCTCATTACAGCGCACACACAGTCTGTGGGGAAGGGGGCGCGAGTGAGTGAGAGGGGATAAGGGAGTGTGAGGTGACAGGGCATGGTGCGGGAAAATCTCTAACAGCAGAAACCTACAGCGGAAAGCTGCAGTGCATCTAAGACACAACTGGGAACTCTGCTTTCAGAAATAAGCAAAACGCTATTGTTATTGGTAGGAGTGAACAAATCAAGCAGAACCAATGAAGCAGAAATAACCATTTCGTTCTATTTACCCCTCCCTCAGACCTCATTTCCCAGTTCATTTGGTACAACTTATCTCACATTACAATCACAACTACCATGAAACCAGCGGCCAGCTCTCCCCTTTCTACTAAACCCTTCCCCGCCGTACCCACCTCTGAACAATTATGGGCGGCAGCCTGATTAGAACTTACCTCTGCACGATTATGGGCGGCAGTTGCTCCAGCGGCTCGTACTGCAGGGCGGCAGCCAGCAGCCGGTGGACCAGCACGTCTGGGTAGCGGCGGATCGGAGACGTGAAGTGGGTGTACAGCGGCACGCTGAGAGCGTAGTGCCGGTACTGGGCGGCCTCCGTCAGAACGCCCGAGCAGAAATACTCGGCCGGCTGGGGATGGAGGGGCAGTGTCAGAGTGAGAGCGGCCTCGACAGAGAACATCCTTTGTTCTCTAGTGAGCAAGAGGAAGTGAGAAGATCAGGAAAGCAGACCAACAGCGCACGATTGGTCCCATAAAAATAAAGTTACAAACTGCGTAACTGAAATAGATCAATTGGTACGCCAACAAATAATCATACCTAATACGCGGCAAATAACCATAAAAATACACGATAAAAACGCTAGATTTACTGCAGCATTCGATCCTCACTGATCCCCCCTCCCCCCAGAATATCATCACAAGCATCTCCTCCCACCACTCTCACCCCATCCATGCGGCGACTCGCGACTCACGTTCATAGGCCGACTGAGCAGGTTGACGACCACAGCCATGCGCGCGATGGCCTCCTGGGGCGGCAGCTCGGCCTGCCAGGCGGCGGCCATCGCCTGTAGCGAGTCGTGCACCGTGCCGCTCGTCTCCACGTCAATCTGCGGGGTGGACGGGGGAGTCAGTGTCACGGGGTTCGGAGAGCGAGAAGGGTGTGAATGGAGGGGCCAGATGGTTATAACTGTTACACTGGATCCACAAAGATGTGCGCGCTGAATGGTGGTGGGTGTCGTAAGGTCAAATGGGGTTATTTTTCATCTGCATCATGCACAAATCAACGACTTTCAATGCCGTTAGTTATGACCATCATGAAACGACTCACTACAAAGTAACATTAGTCTTTCACATCTTTCACAACATGCTTCAATCCTCAGTTTCCTTCATTCCACTTTCCCCTCTTTCCAGTCCCCTCTCTCCGTTCTCACCTCGAGTCCGACACCTTTTAGCAGTCTTGCGGCGTCCGCCAGCGGTCCCTCCTGCGGCGGCGTGTGACGGCGCAGCACCGACAGCTGCGGGTAGGAGCGCAGGATGCGCGCCGCCACGGCCATGTTGGCCAGTAACATGAACTCCTCGATCAAACTGTGGACGGTCGGGCGGGTTAGGTAGGGCGTTAAGTATGGTCCGTTCGTTGGTACTTAGCTCATCGCGGGTTACTATATTTGTCACTGACAGTAAAAACGAGACCTACAGGAATCTCGCAAATACTATTTTCCAACTACCTAAACGCAACTCACATCCCATTGTCTTTCAAATAATTTTCTCAGAGTTTTGTAATTCCTCCCGAGAAAAGCAAAATTTGAATCCCACATCTCATAGTCAACAAAGAGCAGCGAGTGATTGAAATGCCACACATCTCGCTCTGTCGCCTACCATTACATCAAATCCTCAGCCGCATATGTCCATCACCGCTCAACCGTCGTCAGCCGCGGCGGTTGCTCACCGGTTGCTGTCCTGCTGGTTGTACGTGTAGAACCCAGTGGGCGCCCCCTTGGGCCCGTCCAGCTGGAAGCACAGCTTGGGCTGGTCCAGACGCAGCGCGCCGTCGTCGGTCCGGCGCTGGCGCATACACCTGACGGAGACGGGGCGGTACGGGTATCAGTAGTGCGTGGATGTCTGAAGTCTGAACAGTACCGGCAAACTGCAGCTGTGACCAACCACACAGGCAATGAATCGCTGACCATGTCCAGGGCTTACATCCCGAGACATGGGAGCTTCAACGGCTGTTACACCAGTCACATGATGTAGTCTATGCGCTCCATGCCATCCCGCCACTCACCGTGCCATCCCATTTCAGCACCGATCCCTCTCCGTAATAGACCCGCTGCCCCAAGACACGCTCGGCGATTTTCCACCGGCTCCCTCCAGACCTCCCACACCATCCTGTTCCCTTCTCCCCCTTGGCAGTGACCGTGCATCCCATAACCCTCAGTACTCAATGCGCCATTTTGTGGAGCACCAGGACCCGCTCGGCGATATCCTTCCGGCTCCAGGCCTCCCAGGCTCCCACACATTCCTGTCATGTCCATAGTCCCTCTCGGCAGTGACCGTGCATTCCGCTACCCTCAGTACTCACTGCGCCATTTTGTGGAGCACCAGGACCCGCTCGGCGATATCCTTCCGGCTCCAGCCGCCGTCAATCGGCGGCAGGTCCTCCTCTCCCGGCTCATTGTCAGGGTTTTCGATAATGCGCTGAAAACAGACGATGAGACGCGCGTGAGACAACAGCTACAAAACGACAGGATAACACGGTAGATGCACATGCAGTTATCTTGTGATTAGGTGGTCAATTACGTATGCCACTTTGATAAGAATGGATTTCTCTAAATAGCAAATTCAACCTGCTGAATATGAATTTTTCCACTCAGCTGAAAACGCACGCTTCAGACGCGACAGCCAGTCATCCTCGGTCAAAGGCACTTTCAACAGTTGCCCGCTTCCTCCCTCTGCTCTGCTCAGTCCCTCTCCAATGACAGCCTGCCACCCTCTTACCTGAGCGTGCTCGTAGGCCAGTTTGGTGCAGGAGCGTATCACGGTACGTCCGAACCACTCGTCAAAGACGCGGCCCTCGGTATCTAGCTTCCAGACCACGGAGAACGCCAGTCGGTCCTCTGCCGGGTTCAGTGAGCAGAGGTCCTCACAGAGCAGCCGGGGCAGCATCGGGATCACCTGGGCAGAGCGAGTGGGTCAGAGAGGAGAGTCAGAGATCCTCACAGAGTAGCCGGGGCAGCATCGGGATCACCTGGGCAGAGAGGAGGGTGAGGGTCAGAGGTCCTCACAGAGCAGCCGGGGCAGCATCGGGATCACCCGGGCAGAGAGGAGGGTGAGGGTCAGAGGTCCTCACAGAGCAGCCGGGGCAGCATCGGGATCACCTGGAGAGAGGGGTGGAGTTAGAGCGAGGGAGAGGGGTCAGAGGTCCTCACAGAGCAGACGGGGCAGCGCCAGCATCGGGATCACCTGGAGAGAGAGGTGGAGTTAGAGCGAGACAGAGAGTCAGAGGTCCTCACAGACTGCAGCCGGGGCAGCATCGGGATCACCTGGGCAGGGAGAGGATCGAAAAAAGTTCAGAATGTGGCTAAGGTCCTTACGTAGTTCTCAGTAGCCAAGACAGCATCGTGGAAAATATGGAGAAAGATAGTCAGCCCAGCAAGCAGCAGCTAATCCAACGCTATCTCGGCGAAATAAAGTTCCATTCAAACGTTACGGAAGAACAGAAAATGGCAAGGTCCACTGTAATTACTATACGTAATATCCAATAACATTATCCAAAATCAATCAATCCAGTGCTAACACAAAACCATAAAAAAAAACAAGCCTGTTGGACATGTCCAATAAGACCTGCCATTCCCTTTCATGAAAACTGCCACAGCCGCGGCTTTGGCTGGACCCACCTTGTGCACCAGGTAGACGGAGTTGCAGCGCTGCGCGGCCGTCAGGTCCGCCGGCACTCCCTGCTTCAGGAAGTAGCTGACGTCGGCAATGTGGACGCCCACCTCATAGTCACCCGACTCGAGTCGACGGCAAGACACGGCGTCGTCCAGATCCCGGGCCGTCAGAGGGTCGATGGTGAAGACACACTCCTTCCTGTGGGGGACGGATGGTGAGAACGCGTTAGCAAGGTACATACAGCGGGTTGTTAACACACAGGGTAGATTGTAGAGCCACTGACACGAGGACATAGTGGAATACTAAAACAACGGACAGGGTGGACCGTCAACATACGGAGCGAAGGCAAGGCCCAACAAACTGAAGTACGGAAAAGTAACATGGGTGAAAATAAGAAACTCAAACATGGCATGTTTTCTAACGCCCGGTGAATAAAGCAAACAGTTGCATAGCTGATAGTTTGTACACACAATCACACACCAAAACTTTGTTGGGCCAAACTGATACAATCAAGATTCACATGGAACTTTGATCACAGTATCGCCCCCGTAAATCACCCAATGAATATTCTTACCATAGTGAAGTAAAAAACTAAAGACTCATGGCTAAATGAGCACTGTGACTGGTTACTAAACGTGTCAATACCACCAATCTGTCGGCCCCACTCGCCGGCCGGCCGACTGACCTGAAGTCGCGTCGTCGCTCGATCTCGTCTGCTGGTATGCTCCAGGGCACGGTGGGCAGGCCGGGCAGATCTTGCGGCCCGAACTCGCGCGTGTCGACCCCGTGCTCCAGCAGGATGGCCTCCATCTCCACATCAACACTGCCCGTGTCGCCGAGCAGCTGAGACAGACGGCTGGGAAGGGGGAGGGGAGGAGTCAACGGCGACAGTCAGGACGTATGGTACACAGGGTATATTTTGACGGTAAGCTCAATGACGAACTCGGTACACATTAGGCCCGAATAGGACAAGCTCCCCAGGACGATAAATGAGCAATTACGTAAGGGTCAGTTGAAGGCACACTGACAAGTGACGACTTTGTTCCCGAAATGACAATGAAACTCGCTCCTAAAATTCATCATATTCATACCCAAATCCCATCACACCAACCACATCGGATCACATACTTCCTCCCTGATCCGTTCCAACCATAAAACATCCCCGTCCCATCAAAACGCTCCCTCACCATGCGCCCTCACTCACCCCCTGGCGAAGCCGGGCTCGGTCCACTCGGTGATCTCGGCCATGAAGAGTGTGCGCGCATACAGCTGCGGCTGCTGGAAAAAGTCGGCCGGACAGTCGGCGGCGGCTACCTTCAGTCGGGGCACGCGGTGGTCGCGCGGCGCGAACATGGCCTGGTGGCGACTGCCGTCCGGGAACTGGCGCAGCTCGCCTACCGCGCGCCGAGGGTGTTTCGGCTCCACAATGTGCACCACCTGACGAAGGAGGCACGCAGGGTCAACATCATGGGTCAATTTCAGGGAGAGATGCTATCAGAACAGACGAATCAGTCAGCTTCCAGTGTACGGGTGAAAGGGTACGGCACGGATAAGACTCAATATTTAGTGCGTATCATTAGCCAGTGCATTGCTGGACAAAATGCGTCTAGAGCGGATTTTGCATCCCATCTCATCTCAATCCATCTCTCTTTCCTTTCTCCGTATCTCTCCCCTCTCTATCTCTCTTCTCTCCCAACCTTCCCCTCCCCGCTTATCAGCCCACCTTAGCCGTTCGCTGTACGAAGCGTCCCCACTCGGGGTGTGCCAGTGCCCGCTCCACCGTTACACCCAGTGCACTGCCGTCCTTGGGCTTCTCCTTCTGTTTGTCGTTCTTCTGGTGCCGGTTGGGCGTAGCACCATGCTGGTGATGGTGGTGGTGTTGGTGATGATGCTGATGGTGATGTAGGTGGTGATGATGAGTTCCCGGCGTCCGTGGAGTACCAGGAGTGCCGGGAGTGCCACCCTCCGCTGTCTCTCCAGCCGTGGCCAAGTGCTGCGCCTTCTTCTTCAGCGGACGGCGGCTACGTTTCTTTGCCGAGGACGGCTCTGAACTCCCTGCTCCGTCCTCAGTACAATCATCCACATATTCATCCGCATCTTCCGTGCATTTATCCACACTTTCCACTCGCTCCGTATGTACAACATCGCGGGCCCCCTCAGCGGGGGCGGACTGAGCTCCCTGCTCTTTGGTCTCCACCGCCGAGGGGCCCGGGTTAGTCTCGCTGCTACCGCTACGTTTGGCACTGGCCGCGCCCTGCGTGTCTCTGCGCTCGTCACTCGTCCCGTCGGGAGCCGAGGTCAGGCTGAGGGCGGCCAGCCGCGCCGCCACCGACTCCTGCTGGCGACGCCGGCGGCCGCGGCCGGCGCGGGTGCCCCGGCGGGGCTTCTGCGACCCGTCCTCAGCCGACTGCTCGGCCGGATCCGTCTCCGCTGGACCCGTCTGATCCCCCGCTGTCTCCGCGTCCCCTGAGACACTAGCTGGCTCCGTGGAGCCCGCCTGGCCCGCTGATTCCGCTGAAGGCGCCTCCTTTTCTTCCTTTACCTCCTCTGCTTTCCCTTCCGTCGGCGGTTCGATCGTCACCGACTCGACCACGATATCATCGGACTCCTCTCCGCTATCGCCACCAACCGGCCCGTCAGGCACGGCCTTCTGCGGCGCAGGGTCGCTCTCGGCGGGTGCTTCCTTCTTCAAATCATTCTCAGAACCAGCTGTGTGTCCGGAGCCGAGTCTCAGGGGACGCGGAAAGCGCTCGGGCAGAATCTCGTCCAGCTTGGGGGCGTACTTCTGCAGGATCTCGTCGGAGCCGTACAGCGTCTCCAGGTCGGAGACGGTGCCATTGGTGACGAGATGAGTGACGAGCGCGTTCTCAGATACCTGCGGGCCGCGAACAAAGACGAATAGTTAACGGAGAAGGGTGGGTCAGGTTTGGTTTATTGGGGCTTTAGGGCACGCCGACTGCAGTGGTCATTTTGCAGGTGGGTGGGTCGTGTGCCAGGACAGTTAACTCGTTATGAAAACAAAATCAACACATTATGCTGAATCCTTGGCTGGTACTTGTTGACCTTCTTCAATATGAGCCGAATACAAAGTGCAATGCAAATCAGCCGGTAATCAGAGACAGTCAAACAGTCGACATCAAACAGGAAGTCGTCAGAGGACAAACAGAGGTGTGAAGGCGTGGCGCCGGAGCCTGAAGAGCATCAACCCCAGCCCGGCCTCGGCATCTTTGTGTTCTGTATATGTATGAAGCATGTTTATTGTGTAACCCGATGCATATTGATAGACGCGTAACCATTCATCCATGTTGCCGCAGGTTGTAGATATACCCAGCCTTATCCAGTGGTGCTGACTGCTGTGGCGAGTGCGGCTTTGTTGACACCCTGCTGTGCCAATGATGACTGCTGAGAGATTCTGAGCGACTGTGGCAATATGAGAGCTGTGAGAATTAACTCGCCTTCAAGTCCACTCGTTCGGCGGCCTTAGTTTAACGACCACTCCATCGGCGTGACTGATCCTGGGAACCCATGACTGCGTTTGAGTCTGTGACTGTGGTGCTGTGATCTTGTGAGACTGTGGCTCTCAGTGCTCGGTACTCACCCTCCACTCACTCGGTGGCCGCAGTTGAACGGCCACCACATCGCCGTGACTGTGTTCCTGTGACTGTTAGTCTGTGACTGTGAGGCTGTGTTCCTGTCTGCGGTAATCAGTACTCACCCCCCACTCATTCGGCGGCCGCTGCTGAACGGCCACCACATCACCGTGCCTGAGTGACTGTGAGGCTGTGTTCCTGTGACTGTGAGCCCACGACAACGGTACTCAGTACTTACCCTCCATTAATTCGGCGGCCGTACCTGAACGGCCCCCACATCGCCGTGACTGTGTCATGTGACTGTGTGTCTGCAACTGTGAGCCTGTATCTGTATGAGTCCACTTACCCTCCATTCATTTGGCGGCCGCAACTGTACGGCCACCACATCGCCGTGCAGGCCCCGGTTGCGATCACGGACTCCGCCAACGTAGATGTCCGTCAGACCGTCCTGGGGGGACACACAGAGGTCAGGTCACGGGGTCATACTTAGGTCAGCAGCGGGAGGTCAGAGGCGCGGGGATCCTGAACAAGCCAAACTGCAGAACGGATAGGCACTGTGCAAATGGAATTTTACTTTGCTGTTTATGAAATCTAACCGGTAGATTGATACTCACATGTTATCAACCAAGTTTCAGTTACATATATTTTAGCAAATCGAATAACTTTTACATCAGGAAAGTATTTGCGTTTAACTAATCTGTGCAGCGGGAAGCGTGCGAGCGTTATCGGTTGGTTAGCGTTAGCAGTGTCAGCCCAGTGTGAGCCCCCTCCCCCATCCACCCCCTCATTCGGACACAGTGAGTTGAGTGCTATTTACACTTTACAGAGCCTTAATCACGCATTTACCGATACCCCTGTATGCATTGCGTAGATAGCCGAGCAGGTTTGGCGTCCGGAGCACACAAAACTATCGCTCAAATACTAACATGTAAACAGGAAGTAAGCTCAACGAAATCAAGGCTGCACAATTCACAGGTGATTCGTATATACCCAATTGCGGGAGATTTGTAGACAATATACGTGTCTAAAGCTCCCAGCTACATTTGCTAGCTGTGCCAGTATAAGGTGCATTGGTTATTGATACGTTCTACCTTCCCAGCTAGGGTTAGCGGCCAGAACTACCGTGCGTTGGCGTCCACAGCAGTAGTGGGGTTAGTGGATTAGTGTGTGGAAATAGACAGAGCCGAGCGGAGGGAAAATACCAATGGAAATATACCGAGATTTACCGGCGCGCTGATATAGGCGTCTTTGTAGCTCTTTGGGTTGATCCGCAACACACCCTGGAACAAAACACAGAGAAAAGTCAGAATCCGGGGATATCTAACGAAATCTAGGGACATATCAGGCGAGCCTATGAAACCCGAGACACCTATTTGCCACTTAGCAACATCGGTCTTTTGAGACGTAAGTCGTCCATATTCAGTGGCTAAGAATATAATTATGAGACAATGATAATTGAACACCGAATATGGTGCCGATTCACTAAAGTCGGCAACGCCATTTAGGGAACCAAAGTGACGAATATGTACAATTATTGCAACGCTGAGCGCAAGCATTAAGGCGGGTTTTTACGTTTGAGCCGAAGGAACATGATAAGTCAATTACACAATGTCCGCCTACGCAGAACGGGGTACGGTTCATGTCAAGCTCGGTATGTCGCAGCGACAAGTGTCAGACAAGGAACGGATCGCGTCAGATTACGCCGCACTCACGTCTCCCTCGCCACAAAAGGAGCCGGGCCCGTATCAGAGCCATGTAACGCACATAACATACTGGCACAACATATGCAAAGGATGGGGACCTAACACTTCGAGGAATCAAAGGAGCACGTAGAAGTTAGCATTAAACATTACACGATCTTACAATCTTATACTGAAAGCACCAATGTCATATCAGTAAACCTCGTAACTTTTTAAATATCAGTGCGACTGTGAAATTCATTTTGACATGTTTTCTAACTTCTGCAGTGGGCATCAGATACCGGTCCTAGCTTCTGCAACTTCTGCAAAGATTTCCCCAGTTCAGTTCGCTCCTTTAACTCCCGCGAGTAAAACTTGACCAACTGCGACTTACACAACTAAACCACAGACCATAAACGGCTGGGCATCCGATAAGACTGGCAAGTCGTGTTCAACAAAGGTCCGTGTCGCACAGAGTTTCACGGTAAATTACACCCCTGAACGCATAACACAGCTACGGATAAGACGAGGGCTACACACAACACTGGAATGGGGACTGCAAAGCGGGTATAAAGTAGGAGAGGTAACTCATATTGCCACCGGTTTATAAGCACGTCTGCATATATCCTTCGCTTGACATTTCACGTACGAGTCATCACAGGTCATAGTGTCACACAACAGGCCACATCAGTGACAATGGTGACCAGGCTCTGACAAAGGACAAAGCTAAACAGAGTTGACTCAGTGACTACGATATCCGATGGGCACGGCTAGTCACAATGGGTGCCCGGTAGCCACACTAGCAATAGGGGAACACGTCGAATGACATTGGCCGCATTTGTGCAACATTGAGCAACACATCTCCCATCCAAGACCCCCTTCCCCACATTTCCAAGTCATTCGTAGTCTCCAGGTAACCTATCCCTCCACCCAGTACCTACCTCCCCCTTCAGCTCTGGGTCACTCGCCAGCCGTCCCATCTATCGCCCCATCATCAGCGGCCCGCCCCTGGCCCGTCAGAGGCCAGCCATAAGGTGATTGACAGACACTGGCACCAATTAGCGCTGCCGGTAATCCAGCTGTTTTATCGATCACAAAAACAAGGTCGGCGAAGAACCACCATCAACGAAAAACATTAAATACCTTCTTTCAGCTCAAGATTATTCAGCTCGGTCTAGCAATCATTCGGAGAAAGTCGTTAGATTACAAAACAGGGCAGACAAGGATGTCTCTGCCTCAGTATGCCTCAGGCTAAGCTGCGAAGGTCATAGATTCTCACCTCAACCAGCTGACCCTTCTTCAGTCCCTGCTGCACGTCGAAGATGGTGGCGTACTCCTCGAAGCCCTTCAGGCTGTCCCTCTGCGTCGTGCCGTGGCGCAGGTGTTGCACCGAGTGGCGCGCGTGCGGCGTCCCGTGGCGCGGCTGCGGCGTGCCGTGACGCGAGTGCGGCGTGCCGCGGCGCGACTGCGGCGTACCCTGGCGCGACTGCGGCGTTCCCTGACGCGGCCGGTTGTTCTGACGCGACTGGCCCGATGAGCGAGTGTTGACCGATTCCAGGCTGTCACTGAAAACGAACAAACGACGACAATCAGATAAGACAGAAGCTAATACATGACACAATATCACTTATGCTGGACACTGACAAACTAACAGTTTCGAGTTTCAGTGACTGACATTGTTACTTGAGGTCTCCGGGCCGGCGCACCGCCGGCGCCCACTATACTGTGCTTTGGCTGATAATGATCGATCCCTCGTTGGCGCTGCCGCCACCGAGTTCACGACGAATAGGTAGGAAAAAGAGGAGGGGAGAAAAAAAAAATATGGAGTAGGTCCCTGTGTCGCAGCGTCACTCCTCTCCTCTCGCGGTCGCGGCCGCTCCCCGACTGAGCTCCCCATGTTATTGCCCGCCCGTCCTGTTTGCGGTCCCCCGGCTCAGTGCCGCCGGTCGCGGCTGGAGCCCTCAACGGGTCTTATCGGCGGCGGCCGATAAGTGGTCATTGAGGTCTCCGGGCCGGCGCACCGCCGGCGCCCACTATACTGTGCTTTGGCTGATAATGATCGATCCCTCGTTGGCGCTGCCGCCACCGCCAAACCCGCCAAACGGAGAACCCGTCGCAACACGAGGGCAATCGACACCCCGGAAACACCAGGGCAGCGTGACTCGAGGGATCTTGTTCTTGTGCTCAACATGAAGTTGCAAGAGTGTCTTTCGAAATGGCTAAAAGCAGCTGGCTGGTCAGCTTTATGCAAACGGCACCGCTATATATAAGTAAAGGTGATAATAGCATGTGGGATGCCCAAGCAGATACTTAAAGCGCCGAATACCTAATAAGCATGAACATTACGGTCACTTGGGTGAAACATCAATAACCAAATCGTTCAAACGCCATCAGCACGTTCTTACGTGAAACCGCCTGGGGATATCCAGTGATACGCCGTAACTCGCGGGACAAGGAAAAGTCCGCTACTTGGGACGTCACACGACGAAGCGGCTCGCCGAGGGACACGCTGACACAGGGCAGGCCACGCCACCAACCTGACCTAACCCACCAGGGCATTGTCGAGCGGACCCCTGCTAGACCAAGTCACCGAACGGACCGAACATGCCAGGCCCTGGCCGCCCGGACCTTGTCAGGTCACGCCACTCACCGAACCGCCCGAAGTTCCCAGGTCGGTCGCCGTCCGGGCCTCCGCCAGGGCACGTCACCGGACTAATCTAACTCCAGTTAATGGCCACGCCACTCGCCCCAGGTCATTGCCGTTCGGACCCCTGCCAGACCACGCCACTTACCGTACGAACTGACCTTACTCTTCAGGTCATGTCGAGCGGGCAAGGCCATGCCACCGAACCGATCCAGATTCCAAGGCATGCCGTCCGGGCCCCTGTCAGGCCACGCCACCCACCGAACTGACCTAACTCCCAGGTCAGTCGCCGTCCGAGCTCCTGACAGGTCATATCACTCACCCAACTGGCCTGGCCTACCTGATCATACGCCGGTCGGACCTCTACCAGGTTACGTCACCGAACTGACCTAACTTCCCCCGACCTCCTTGTCCCAGACCACTGGCGTGTTCCAGGCCTCCACCCCCGGGCGATAGATCGGAGCGGGTACCTACCGTCTCAACAGCCGTAATAGGCGCCGCTCTCGTGCCGCTGTCCCATCTCCTCCCCCCCCCCCCCCCCCCTGGCCGGCCGAGCCCAGCGAAGGCACGCCGCGTTTGGCCGCGGTGCCGCCTGGGGCGCTCCGTCGCTCCCCCTACAGGCATATGACACTCGCTCCGAGCCCGCCGAGCCTGCCGGCGGGCGCCGGCCCGAAGTCCGCAGCTATATGGGACACTCCAAAGTCAGTCACGTGACACCCCCCACCAGGCGCGAGGTGCCCAGACGCGTGTCCCAGAGAGTGTCCCGACCGACGCCGAGGGCCGACCTGCCATAAAAGGGGCCAACGGTCATAACCAGCTGTAAGCAGCGGCCCGCTCGCGTCACCGCTGCCCGTTGACGCCCAGCGGCCGGCGCTGGGCCAATGAGAACAGCGATCCCAGTGCCGGCGGTGCTCCGCCCGCCGCCTCGGCACTCCCACGACGCGGCCGCTTGGAGGGGGGGGGGGCATCCCGATCGCTAATGGCCGAGCCCACGGGCGATGAAGGCATCTCACTGCTGCCAGCGGCTGCTAGGTACTGGCCGCTGCCAGTCCCCCCGACTCAACATATGTCCAGGGGCACATCACTGTTACACGGGGGCCACCCATGGCCGGGAGCCCGGTCCACCCGCTCGCCACCACGACGGTCCGTATTGTCTCAGGACTGTCATACTCGTCCCGCCTTCCCTTCCCCCCGCCCCCCCCCCCCCTCCTCCCGGCCGACCGTCCAAGCCCAACGAGGGCGGCGACCCCGCCGAGCCGCCGCGCCGCGGCCGACCCGGCGCGGCGGTCCCCGACGGTCATATAACACGTCCCGCGCCGCCCCGGTCGGCGCCGAATACGGCCTGCCATAAAGGACACCGTCGCTCATAAACCAGCTGTGGACACAAACCAGCGGATCCCGAGACGGTGACACGCCGTCTGCGGCGTGCCGCGCCCGTTGATGGACGCCCGCTTGCGCCGCAGCCAGCGTCCGCCGCTGGGCCGCTCTGGCCGGGTCGTGTGAGAATTTTCCCCCAGCCCCCTCGTCGGGTCAGGCCACTATTCTGGCGCAGTCCAGACCAGCCGGTAAGCCACCACGGCCAACCCGGCAGCCACCAGGCCGGTTGGTCATCTGGCGTTACCAGGCCAGCCGCCTCAACCGATCCATTACCACGTAAGCCGGGGCGTTATCCGATCACCCGCCGCGGTGACCTATGGCCCGCTCGCCCACCGGCCGGACCAGTTCCCAGGTCAGGGCCGCTGCGACCGCTGCCAGGCCACGCACCGAACTGACCTAACATTACCAGGCCATGTCGCTCAGACCCCTCCGTGTCGCCCGCCGTACTGACCTCTCATTCCCAGGTCCGTCGCCGATCCGGCCCCTGCCAGGTCTACCGAACTGACCTAACAATCCCAGGTCAGTTTCCGAGCCCGTCTATGGTAAGCCACGCGCCGCTGAAGTAACATTTCTCTGTAACCGGCCTCACCGAACCGGCCTCAGCCCGAACTGGCCTCTGCCAGGCCACTGACCTAACATTCCCAGGTCCGTCGCCGAGCCCAAGTCAGTCACCGAACCGTTCCGGCCGAGCCGGCCTCGCCGAACCGGCCTCTGTCCGCACCGGCCTCTGCCAGGCCTCGTACCGAGCTGACCTAATATTCCCAGGTCAGACGCTGAACCGACCTCGCCAACCGGCCTCTGTCCGCACCGGCCTCGCCGAACCGGCCTCCGTCCGCACCGGCCTCACCGGACCGGCCTCACCGAACCGGCCTCTGTCCGCACCGGCGCCGTCACTCCGCCGCGCCGGCGACTGTCGCAGCTAACGCAGGCAAACACCCCCGGACCGGTCCGAGTGCCCGTCAGTCGTCACCCCGGGCCGGTCCACAGCGCCCGTCCAAACAAGTCGGCGGGCACCCCCGCGGGACCCAGGCCGACGCCCCAGAAACCGCCCCGCGCGTGTCAACACCGGCGCCGCGCGGACGTGAGACCGCTGCCCCGCAACCCCCCCCCCCCCAGGCCGGCCGCCACGTGGACGGGAGAGATAGAGAGAGAGAGAGAGAGAGAGAGAGAGAGAGAGAGAGAGAGAGAGAGAGAGAGAGAGAGAGAGAGAGAGAGAGAGAGAGAGAGAGGGAGAGAGAGAGAGGGCGATAACGTCTTGCGGAGCGTGAAATACAAGACGCTTCGGTTCGGCACGAACTCCGACCCGGGCAGAAGCGTGAGCACGACCACGCCGGTCCCGCCGCGTGCACGGCCAACAGCACGGACCCGGGCGACAGTTCCGCACTGACTCCTGCAATACGACCCAAGTCGGTGATTGCATAGCCCCCCCCCGGCCAGCGCCACCGCGCGCGCGCCACGCAATCCGACCCAAGTCGACGATTGCATAGCCTCCATCCAGCGCCACCGCGCGCGCGCCTTGCAAATCGACCCAAGTCGACGATTGCCTGCCTCCGTCCAGCGCCGCCGCGCGCGCGCCTTGCGATCCGACCCGAGTCGACGATGCGTGCCTCCACCCCCCCCCCCCCGCCAGCGCCACCGCGCGCGCGCCAGCAATTCGCCCCAAGTCGACGATTGCATAGCCTCCATCCGGCGCCACCGCGCGCGCGCCAGCAATGCGACCCAAGTCGACAATTGCATAGCCTCCATCCAGCGCCGCCGCGCGCGCGCCTGCAACTCGACCCAAGTCGACAATTGCATCCGCCGCTTACCTGCCATGCAATTCGACCCAAGTCGACAATTGCATAGTCTCCATCCAGCGCCGCCGCGCGCGCTCCTGCAACTCGACCCAAGTCGACAATTGCATCCGCCACTTACCTTGCCATGCAATTCGACCCAAGTCGACAATTGCATGGCGCGCCAGCAATTCGACCCAAGTCGACAATTGCATAGCCTCCATCCAGCGCCGCCGCGCGCGCGCCTGCAACTCGACCCAAGTCGACAATTGCATCCGCCGCTTACCTGCCATGCAATTCGACCTAAGTCGACAATTGCATAGCCTCCATCCAGCGCCGCCGCGCGCGCTCCTGCAATTCGACCCAAGTCGACACTTGCATCCGCCACTTACCTTGCCATGCAATTCGACCCAAGTCGACAATTGCATGGTGCGCCAGCAATTCGACCCAAGTCGACAATTGCATCCGCCGCTTACCTGCCATGCAATTCGACCCAAGTCGACAATTGCATAGCCTCCATCCAGCGCCGCCGCGCGCGCTCCTGCAACTCGACCCAAGTCGACAATTGCATCCGCCACTTACCTTGCCATGCAATTCGACCCAAGTCGACAATTGCATGGCGCGCCAGCAATTCGACCCAAGTCGACAATTGCATAGCCTCCGTCCAGCGCCGCCGCGCGCGCGCCTGCAACTCGACCCAAGTCGACAATTGCGTCCGCCGCTTACCTGCCATGCAATTCGACCCAAGTCGACAATTGCATAGCCTCCATCC